GGCTGTACAGAGCCATTCTACAGACACTAATCACATTTGCTTCTGTGCGGCTGTACAGAGCCATTCTACAGACACTAATCACATTTGCTTCTGTGCGGCTGTACAGAGCCATTATACAGACACTAATCACATTTGCTTCTGTGCGGCTGTACAGAGCTATTCTACAGACACTAATCACATTTGCTGTACAGAGCCATTCTACAGACACTAATCACATTTGCTTCTGTGCGGCTGTACAGAGTCATTCTACAGACACTGATCACATTTGCTTCTGTGCGGCTGTATAGAGCCATTCTACAGTCACTAACCACATTCACTGCTATTCTGACACAGGCCTTCATCTCCAGTCCCCCTTTAACACAGGACTCTGTGGGAAAATGCAGCTCAGAGCAGATGACATCCCTGCTGGTTTCATGTTCTGGTCACAGGCTTGTCGCACGAAAGGAGGTAAAGGAGGCGCATGAAGAACTTGGCCATGGCTGCAGCGTGCGTTCCATGACACAGGAAGCCCCGTCTGGCTTCCTCCGCAACCCCTGCGGAGGGGTGGAGGGGCCTGCCCAGCATTCAGACGTCAGATGCCTTCTGTCTGTTCGATCCCAGGGGAAACGGCACCCCTGGCCCAGCATGCACCTGGCCCGGCCTGTCCCAAGCCCAGCATGCACCACCTGGCAAGCCTTCTACATATTAAAGAGCAGTGCCCCCCTCTCTTGCCTGGCAGTTGGTAAATAAGCATCACACCTGCAGGACAGCAAGGCCACAAAGGGTCGGCACGGTCGCCATGGCATCTGTTTTGTTTATGCTCTGCAGGAGTTGTTGTACCCCTCTGTGTAATCTGCTCACTCAGCTGACGTTTGCATTCATGGTCAGATGCAGCTCCTTAAACCTGTAGTGCCAATGGCCAACCTTCCCTCTGCCTCTCACACAAATCAGGTTAAGCGGTTTTCACACGACTACATTCCCAAGGCAGGTACCGCTGACCTTTTTGGTCATGTGACCTGAACCGCCCCCTTCCTGCCTGCTGACCCGGTTTGAGTTTAATGCCAGTGAGAATGTCACAAACGGCATGCCCTGCCCCTGTCAGTCACCAGGGCGGCGACAGCGGCAGGGAGCAGAGCGTAAGTAAGACGCTAGCAAAGACTGTCAGCCGTCAGGTGTGGCTTCTCGCATGCTAATGAACCGCAAGCTCACGTCACGCCAAGGTTTTTTTCCGGCAGAATGACAGAACGGACAAAAGGAGTCAGGCATAGTTCCTGCCTCCGCAACAGCGAGCTTCAGCGTTATAAACTCAGATGTCAGGGATAAAATGAAACAGCCCCTTCGCAGATGAACCAAACCAAATGTTCCAGGCTAACAGCTCTGTCCATAATATCTCCACCATTCAAAACCACTAGCATTTCATGAATGTGGGTGAGAGAGGCAGACTGATGGAATGTCTTAATGGAGCCTCTCTGTTAAAGCCTCCTTCTGGCTGATTAACTCACTGCAGCCCAAACGCACACCTGCACCTCAGGGCGTGCGGCAGACAGGAAGCGCAGCTACACACATGTGCTGTCAGCAGCACCATCTATGGCTGACCAGAACAGCCTTGACTTTATCCTCCTGAGATCCTACGTCCTCATATAAGGACATCATTTTTAGTTTAAAACTATTCATTGTTCAAAAAAAAAAAATGTTTTTATGATTATGAGGTCCTACTAATCCCAAATAGCTAAAGGAAATAAAACACACACACCAAACAAAAGCCCGGGACTCAGGAGGTTATCTTTGAATTAACATTTACATCCCAATTTCTTTGCCTCAGCGAAGAGTTAAACCCAGGAATACCATCACCTGTATTCATTATTAAAACGATAGGGCTGAAAATAAAATCCATCCATCCATCCATTCTCCAACCCGCTTATCCGACTGGGTCGCGGGGGGTCCGGAGCCTATCCCGGAAGCAACGGGCATGAGGCAGGGAACAACCCGGGACGGGGTGCCAGCCCATCGCAGGGCACACTCACACGGAAAAAAAAAAAACGCAATCTGACGTTCAGCGTTTCCGATTTCTGTGAGATGGCTGAGAGAACACAGGTAGGCGAGGTGTTGAAACGAAAGAATGCAAGAGAAGTGGCATGTGGGATCTCTGGACGGAGCTCAACTGTATGGCAGATCTGCTGATCTGCTGCTCTGTGCTGTGTCGACATGTCAGGGCTGGAATCCCTGACCAAAGAGATACTTCTACATTAACAATGAGACAAAAGGCTGTTCAGTGGTACCATTTATACCAGAATTCAAAATAAAACCGACAGAATGGATGAGAGGAAGCTGAAGAATATGCATCCATCCATCCATACTTTTTATCTAATGCAGGGTTGTGGTTGGCCTGGAATCAGGCAATACAGGAGTTACCCTGGATGGAACATGTGTTCACTGCAAGGCACACACACACACACACACACACACATATTGATATCTTTGTGGGGATCGTCCATTCATATCTATGGGCAAAACACTAATTGCAACAATATCAACCCCAACCCCTACCCAGCCCTAACCTTAACCATAAGCAAGCAAACAAACCAAATGTCCACACAATGTAATATAAATATATACCTGACCCCCCCCAAATTGCATGTTTTTAGATGAAGGTGGGGTACCCAAGAAATGCTCACATAACATGCAGAGATCAAGCAAACTCCACACACAGGGCTTGGGGAGGGATTTAAATCCCCAATCCGGGAGGTGTGAGGTTAGTGAAGCCCACTGCGTCACTGTGCTGAAAGGAAACACTTTTTTTTTTTTTTTAATCACCTTTATTCTTCGAGACGGTTAGGGCAAGTAAACTCCAAATCACAGAAGCTCATAAGAAGCTCTTTTGGACAGCAGGTGGAGAGTAACCATTTGGGACCACTGTGCTGAGCCCAGTACTGACGTGTTTAATTATTTCATCAAGGCGGTAAGTGCAACAATCAATCCTTCAGTCACAAACCCATCAATCAATCAGCCAAATGTTACCTGCTAGCGATGTGCCACAGCTGTGTGCTGACAGTTTTGTTTATGCATATCAGAGCGTGAATTGATTAGCACGGTTTACAACAGTGCAGCAGCATCCTGTTCCGCTGCGGACTGTCCAATGCCTCTAAATGCACCAACGGTTCCCCTGCTTGGATACGCTGCCTTAACCACAACACCATCTGCTGCTTCAAATTCACGGGTGCCCTTCACATTTAAACCAATAACATTGAACTTTTGTTTTGAAATGATGATTTTTATTTCCTCGACGCCGCTTACTTGTTTAGTTCCATCCCTGGAATATCGCCGAAGCAATGACACATACGAATGCACCACAAACAGGACGTCCCTATATCCCTTAAACTATTCTGCATCTTACTCGTCGTTTTACGACGAAGTAAGAGTGTTCCGCAACGTGTACTCGGTTAAACTGCATTTTTCTACAAACAGGAGACACTATAAACAGGAGATTCGTCTTGTCTCACCTTGGAAGAGAAAAGCTCGGCTCTCGTTGTGGAAACCCTGGACTTGAGAAACTCCAGGGAACCCCTCTCCAAGGTTTAATTCATCGAAAACATTGATGCGCAAAGCAGGATCCACGCCGAAGCCTAAAACTTAATAGCACAAACAGGAAAAACATATAGATGTTGGTAAAAAAAAATAATCAATAAAGACCGCCCGTGAAACAGGGCGTTTGGTCAGCCGCATAAAAACTGGAAAATTCCATTTAAATATGAATTCATACATTATACCGGTAAAAACTCATATGCATTAAAAGAAAGATATTACACGCAAAACAATACGGCAATAAAACGCAATGTATTAATTCGAGAAATAAGATATTCTAGTTCACTCAGTTCGGGCGTGGATCTAGTGACAGTAATAAATAAATAAAATCCCAATCTTACCTGAAACGACAAAAAATGTACCAAACACAAGGGAAAGTTTATATAGTCCCATCGTGAACGAGGAAAAAAGCAATTAGTCCATGTTGTTCCCTGCAGTTTCAAAAAACAGATTTTCTACACAACGAGCCGCCGGAGAGAGAGATAATGACACCCGGGTTGCCGTATCACACATCCACGGACGCCGGACAGCGCATCGCCGGGGCTTTAAATGCAGGACAGGCGCAGAGGGCTGACAGCAAATACGAAGCGGTCCATTTAGTGCAGCTTTGGCCGTGCAAACACCCTGACCGCGCAAACGCACAGGTGCGGCGCAGAGCTGCCCCGTCCGCCAAGTGTCCGCCTCTGCCACTGCTGGCAGCGAGGAGAGCGGCTCTGATCCAGCCCCCTGCTGGACCTGGGCGGTCGCTCCTCACCAAACACGTGCGTCTGACTTGAACAGTTACCTAAAATGAATACAGATACAATAAACAAAGAGAATAATTATATATAAAGATAAAAATGTCCCCAATGAGATAAACAAGTGACAGAAGTTTACGAAATGTTTTTTAACTATGTGTAGCTAAATGATGAACAGTCACCTTGGTTTATATACTACAGCCGCACGCTTGTTTGTGTAGTCTACGTGGATTTAATCCAAAATGACCGATGCAATACGTAACATTCATCAATTGTATAATGCGACATACGACTTGCTTTTTAATTTGTAGTCTCGATTTTTGGCTTAGTTATATAACAGAAGAAACTGCCTTATCTTTACTGGGAGATCAGCATGGATTCGGCAGACATGAACTTTGCGCTTTCAAGTAGGCATTTTAAGATCACAGACCCACTTCAGCAGACTATGGTAACGATTTCCGTTGATGATACCGGCTTGTCCAGATGATGCTCTTGAATATGCCCAGTAAATGAACACTTGCTGCACGCTATGAAGCTTTACTTTACCTCCAGAAAGGATTAACATGCAACGCCAAAGTTTCTAATGAGGCCGACTGCATGACAGATGATAAACAACTAACACTAAATAATACATCCTTTCTTGAAGATAATTTTATTTTATTACAGTGTCTGCATTATGATTGTACTAGCATTGATTGTTAGTATTTAAAATGCATACTTATTGCAGTTTAATTATAACTTAAGCATTCATTGCTATTACATCAACGGGTTGTTTCGTGCTGCGCGAATTATCCGGCTCTGATGTGCACCGATGCTTCTTTCAAGATAAGACCCCGCTTAAGAAAACGTTTTCCATATAAAACACACATTTTTACTCCGTAAAAAAAGGATGTATTCTTAAGACCACTCAGCTCGATGAGTAGGCTATAGTCATTTGATGATGGAGATATTTGACTGCGTCAGCAAAGTTCAAGAAGGACTGCCAGACCCTGTTCGTGTGGTAAATCTTCATTTGTTACTTAAAGACGAAAAGTCTAAGCTTGGATAAAAACACGCAAACAATATAAACAGGCCCATAATACCCTTGCGGCTGGAGCTGCAAGTTATCAGTCTCGCTCTTTTATAGTCCTTCCTTGTGGCTGTAGGATGGAGGGCACGTGTAAGATGTGAATGACCTTTCTCTGCCCTTCCCTCTGCCGTGAAACACGGCGGCCGGTCATATGCGAGAAAATTATATGCCACAGGGACTGAGCAGCCGAGTGCACTTATGAACGTACCTGTGCATTTACAGAGTAATCTCCTGGTTACAGAGTTAATAAGAAATTGTTCATCACACCCACATTTTCACAGGTAAGATTGGAGTTTTCATAGATGGCTTTCCTTCTATTTTCCTGTAATTATGTCGAGACAAAACAAGTAATATTCCTGTTAATTACATTTCGCTAAGTGTCATATGTAAAATTACCAACCTCCATGATACTGTATTTTTTTAAATAAATGCACAGTAGATGGTGCTGTTGCACCATCTAGTGTACATTTAGACTACTACAAGAACGTGTATTAGACCCTTCGAATGCACTATATTAAATTAAGTTAAAGTACGCAGGGGTGCCACACGTTGGGTTGGTGTGGGGGGTGGCGGGGTAAGGACGATTAAAGGGGTCCTAAAAAATTGTCACATAATTGGATTGATCTGGGTTAAATGCTCAATATGACGTGCTTTTATGTGGCTCAAAATCTCTATAGTACCAAACAGTACGAAAACGATGCCTGTGCTTTACATAGTTTTACTGGTAGCCTGGCCAGGCAACCAATAAAAACACGAATAAGCCAGGTTCATTGTTGGCCAGCCCACGACTTTACTCATTAAAAATATCATGGTGTGTCATCTTTTGATGCACAAGTGGTGCATTTAATTAATTTAAAATACAGAAATAAAAGGACAACCATCTATCCATCTTCCAACTGGTAATCCTGGTCAGAAGGAGCCAATAACATTGGCATTGCTACATCAGCTCTGCATAGATGTCAAAACACATAAAGCACTTATGAAATCCCCCATCTGAAAAGGTAAGCTTTAGGTCCATTTCCAGTTTATAATGAAAAGTATCTTACTTCCCCATGAGATTCTACCGTTACAGCTACAGACCTTCCCTCAGGGACAAAGGGTGAAATCGTTTAGGGATTTAAACCTCAAGCAGGCCTGTGACCTTTAGCAAAAAGAAGTTAAGCTCAGCAAATTTTTTATTTTTTTTTGCCAGTGTAAAAAAGATTGCTTGGCTTTGGCCAGCACGCCCTCAGGGGGCGCTAATGAGTGCCAAGGTGAGTGCAACTTACACACAGCCATATGAGGGAGCCCGGAGGGGAGATCTGGCAGACGCTCGCTGACGTAAGTGGCAAACTGGGCCTAATGCCGTCCCGCTATTCTGAGATACATTCTGCATTTTTAAAAGGGGGAACAAGTCAAATCACTGACATACGCATGCGATCCTCTCCATTCACATCATAATGTGATTTACTGCTAAGCACTTGTGATGGCTGTTAGCATGGATTTGAGGGACTCCTGAGTATACATGCGCTGTAAGCTATGCAAATTGTTAGCGAGTTGGTACATGCGAGATCAATTAGTCTGTGCAGCTTAACATTAAATCGACAGAGACCATTTCCAGCAGGAAATAAATCCACATCATACTGGTTCTGCTGTCAAGAAAAAAAAAATAAAAAATCTAGAGTGGGTAGCACTATATCACCTCTACCTGAGGGGTGCAGGTTTGATTCTCACCCCCTCCTGCATTTCTGCAAGATCCCCTCCCACAATCCAAAAAACACAGTTGGCAAACTGCTGTCTCCAAATCGCCCATATTGCATGTGAGCGTGTGCCCTGCGCCAGACTGGCATCCCACCCAGAGCGGCCCTCGCCGTGTGTTTTTCCTGCGATAGTCTGCAGGCTTGCCACAGCCCTGTCCAGAATAAGCAGTTATGAAAGATGGATGGAATTTCCCTTTAGAGTTGGGAGCGACTGGAAAGACGGTTAACATTTATAGCCGTGTTCCAAGGCTTGCGTTTTTTAATTTAATGGCGGTTAGTTGGTCTTGATGTCAGCAGACCATTTCACATTTTAAAGTATAGCTTTAAGCCACAACACTCACCAGGAGTAGCGGTTTGAAAATGTATAGAAGCATTTCATCATTGTACAAAAATAAAACACTGACATCTTGTGGCAGCGTGAAAATTTAATTGCACCCAACGGAAAACATGCTCCTTACAGATACACCCAGAGTTACGCCGCACTCTCCGAGGTCCAGACCACCACCCTACTGACATTGCTTCCTCTCCTCCGAACTTCAAGCATTTTTTTGAAGTGAATGAAACAGGGGTCATGTGACAGTTTTATCACACAATTTAGCTAATATATTTTGCGCAGGTGGCAGTGTTACAAGGTTTGGCTCGGCTCTCCTCCTGGGGGGGGGGGCTTCCCCGCTGCAGCCCTGCGAGGAGACAGAATGAAGGCCATCAGAGGTGTGGGGCACCATCAGCAGCCCTGCATGCGGGATTAACCCAACCTCTGAGACAGCCTGAGGGAGGGGGGAGGGTCACATCCCAGGAAGGCTCCATTGTTGCAGCAGTACTGCAGCAGGGCACAGAAGCAGGGGTCCTGGCAACATGATATTAATGCATGAGAGCACGTGTGCGCATGCACACAAACCTCCAGTACAGGAGCACAGTGACTGATGGGTGTGTCCTACCTTAATGAGCACGTGCGGGTTGCCCACGATGATGAGCAGGGCCTTTGCACGTGTGATGGCCACATTGAAGCGCTTCGGATTGGACAGAAAGCCCAGCACGCTGTGCACATCCTCTGTGACGATGGCCTCGTTACACCGCACCTGGCAGACAGGCTCATCTTTAAAAGGGCTGGGGGGGTCAGGGCAACACCGGTAGGCCTGTGACCCCGAGGTCACGGGCAGAAAGTGAAAAACAGGATCTCCACTGGCACTGCGTGCAGTTTTAACAAACGAAAACCACGACACAGAAAAGAGGGGTCACTGGATCTAATGCACTAGTGCAGCGTTTCGCTGTTGGTCCTTGGCGACCCAGAGACAGTCCACGTTTTTGCTCCCTCCCAGACAGTCCATTCTTGCTCTGAAGTGGAAGCTGGGAGGGAGCAAAAAAAAAAAAAAAAAAAAAAAAAACCCATGGGCTGTCTGCGGGTCCCTGAGAACCAAATTGGGAATAACTGCACCAGTGAAGCCCCTGGTCTGGTGGGTGCAGCCGATTGCCGTAGGTGACCTTACCGTGGACAGGATCACCACCAGTGACTCCTGCCCTTGGAACTGCTCCACAGAGCCCACCTTGATGTCTGCCAGGCCCACCCTGTGCAGCAGTGTACGGATGGTTTCCACCTGCAGGGCAGGGGGAAGGGGAAGAAAGAGAAAGAGAGAGATTACACAGGATGGCAATAGGACCATGCATACACTGGCTCTGTAGCCTGACCAGATGTTTCAGGCCAACTGATCTGATATGCACTAATGAAAAGAAGCCATTTAACAAATTAGCAGCACAGCTGAATATCTGATACTTCTCCAGACAAGTTAGGGGCATCAGAGTGACCCGTTCAGATAGGGAGAGGGACCACACTGCACCTGCTTCTTGTACGGGGTGATGATCCCGATGTCTGCAGCTGCGACCGGCTTGTACAGCGACTTGGCCAACTGACAGCAGTAGAACATGACCTGCACGGCCTCCGTGGGGTTGAACCAGGAAGGGTTGCTGCCCTCTCTCATCTCCTTGCCCTGAGTGCCAGTATGGGAATGAAGGATTCAAACCCAAAACCCTCTGGCTTTGGGGCACAAAAATCTAACACGGCGGGTCACCCTGCCCCTCACCCGCAGCCCGTGGAAGATGATGGGAAAGCCCTTAGCGGGCAGGTGGCCCCAGTTGCTCAGGGCATCCACCACCGCACGCTCCGCCCTTGCGCACAGCTCCCCGCTGTAAAACAGTCTAGAGGGCAGCGCCAGCAGGACTTCATGGGAGCGGTAGTTATACACCAGCTTTGTAACCTGAGGCAGGAGGAGAAGCGCTGTACATCCATTCAGGGGCACAAGCATCCTGGCACTTTAGGGGTCCCTGCACTTCACAGGGGCCCCCAAAATTCACCATCGGAGTAAACAGCGAAACCCCCGCATGCAGTGCCTGGGCTATTACGTAAATCGGCTAGCAAACAGCCAGCTGCTGCGAACAGCCGGTCGCGCAGCTGCCAGTGAACGCATACAGCACGTGGGCAGGAGGCTCGGCTGCTGTTAGACTAGGCGGAAGAACGGGCAAGACGTCCGATACGAGATTTTGAAGGTGGTCTGACCATTGGAACCACACCTTGCGGTTCCCAATATCTCTCAGAAACAGCCACCCTCCTGGGATTCTCACACTCTGCAGAGTTTACAGAGAACGGTATGATTTAAATAAAGCCACCCAGTAGATGGAATTTCTGTGACTGAAAACACATTGTTACCATGTAAGAAAGACACCAAACTGGGTTCCATTACACATCTAAGACCTTGCGTTGAATACCACACTGGACAATACTCACTACACGGAAATAGAAAAATCCTTAATCTTTTAAAAATCGGCATCATATACAAATCTATATCACTCCACTAACATCCTAAAATAATTATAAAGCTCAGTCCAACACAATTTGAAAGTCACATGATTTGTGCGTCAGGACCCGTGTGATCGTCGCCATCCTGAGCTCTCCCTGCATGCCGTCTCCACCCTCACCAGCAGGGGGTTGTAGCCATTCTTGCCCCGCGAGTACAGCGATCTCTTCATGAGCCGCTGCAGCAGGGACATGCCCAGCCCGAAGGCATCAGCCTGCTGGGACTTCACCACCGGGCCCAGCTGGTGGGGGTCACCCGCCAGGACTATCTGGGGGCGGGACGAGGACAGTGGACGACAAATCAAAAGACACCTATCCCATGTGTTGAGGGTGTTCAATGAATTAATAATGTAACATCCCAACATGATATTCATGCAGATCAAGCACAAACTCTGGAAGTCAGTAATATACGCAATGCCCATCAGCACCACCAGGGGGCCGCCACTCGCTTCACCTGGCCTTCACTCTCGGACAGCAGGCCCAGGGGGATCAGGGTCTCTGGTTCCGTGGCCTGGCCCGCCTC